CCTGCGGTCAGCTCCTCTCTATGTAAAGTCGTTAGACTGTCAGCTCCTGCGGTCAGCCTCCTCTATGTAAAGTCGTTAGATTGTCAGCTCCTGCGGTCAGCGTCCTCTCTATGTAAAGTCGTTAGACTGTCAGCTCCTGCGGTCAGCGTCCTCTCTATGTAAAGTCGTTAGACTGTCAGCTCCTGCGGTCAGCTCCTCTCTATGTAAAGTCGTTAGACTGTCAGCTCCTGCGGTCAGCGTCCTCTCTATGTAAAGTCGTTAGACTGTCAGCTCCTGCGGTCAGCGTCCTCTATGTAAAATCGTTAGACTGTCAGCTCCTGCGGTCAGCTCCTCTCTATGTAAAGTCGTTAGATTTGTCAGCTCCTGCGGTCAGCGTCCTCTCTATGTAAAGTCGTTAGATTGTCAGCTCCTGCGGTCAGCGTCCTCTCTATGTAAAGTCGTTAGATTGTCAGCTCCTGCGGTCAGCTCCTCTCTATGTAAAGTCGTTAGACTGTCAGCTCCTGCGGTCAGCGTCCTCTCTATGTAAAGTCGTTGGATCGTCAGCTCCTGCGGTCAGCGTCCTCTCTATGTAAAGTCGTTAGACTGTCAGCTCCTGCGGTCAGCGTCCTCTCTATGTAAAGTCGTTAGACTGTCAGCTCCTGCGGTCAGCGTCCTGTCTATGTAAAGTCGTTAGATTGTCAGCTCCTGCGGTCAGCGTCCTCTCTATGTAAAGTCGTTGGATCGTCAGCTCCTGCGGTCAGCGTCCTCTCTATGTAAAGTCGTTAGACTGTCAGCTCCTGCGGTCAGCGTCCTCTCTATGTAAAGTCGTTAGACTGTCAGCTCCTGCGGTCAGCGTCCTCTCTATGTAAAGTCGTTAGACTGTCAGCTCCTGCGGTCAGCGTCCTCTCTATGTAAAGTCGTTAGACTGTCAGCTCCTGCGGTCAGCGTCCTCTCTATGTAAAGTCGTTAGACTGTCAGCTCCTGCGGTCAGCGTCCTCTCTATGTAAGTCGTTAGACTGTCAGCTCCTGCGGTCAGCGTCCTCTCTATGTAAAGTCGTTAGATTGTCAGCTCCTGCGGTCAGCGTCCTCTCTATGTAAAGTCGTTAGATTGTCAGCTCCTGCGGTCAGCGTCCTCTCTATGTAAAGTCGTTAGATTGTCAGCTCCTGCGGTCAGCGTCCTCTCTATGTAAAGTCGTTGGATTGTCAGCTCCTGCGGTCAGCGTCCTCTCTATGTAAAGTCGTTAGACTGTCAGCTCCTGCGGTCAGCGTCCTCTCTATGTATAGTCGTTAGATTGTCAGCTCCTGCGGTCAGCGTCCTCTCTATGTATAAGTCGTTGGATCGTCAGCTCCTGCGGTCAGCGTCCTCTATGTAAAGTCGTTAGACTGTCAGCTCCTGCGGTCAGCGTCCTCTCTATGTAAAGTCGTTAGACTGTCAGCTCCTGCGGTCAGCGTCCTCTCTATGTAAAGTCGTTGGATCGTCAGCTCCTGCGGTCAGCGTCCTCTCTATGTATAGTCGTTGGATGTCAGCTCCTGCGGTCAGCGTCCTCTCTATGTAAAGTCGTTAGACTGTCAGCTCCTGCGGTCAGCGTCCTCTCTATGTAAAGTCGTTAGATTGTCAGCTCCTGCGGTCAGCGTCCTCTATGTAAAGTCGTTAGATTGTCAGCTCCTGCGGTCAGCGTCCTCTATGTAAAGTCGTTAGACTGTCAGCTCCTGCGGTCAGCGTCCTCTCTATGTAAAGTCGTTAGACGTTGTCAGCTCCTGCGGTCAGCGTCCTGTCTATGTAAAATCGCCAGCGCTAAAGAAATTCCTACAATAAATGAAACGTAGAAACAAGAGCGCCAAACCCTCTGTAACTGCGGCGGAGCGTTTTGGCCGCGGTGGAGCGTTTTGGCCGCGGCAGAGCATTTTTGCCCGTGGCGGAGCGTTTTGGCCGTAGTGGACCGTGTTGGCCGCGGCGGATAAAATCTGGCGTCTTTTTAAACTAAAAAAAAAAGTTTCTTTTTTTTTTGCAATCGTCTTTTTTTTCCGTCCTCCCAATATCACCACGAGAAACCATTTAAAAAAAAAAAAAATAATAAAAAAGCGATCTGATCCCATCGATCGATCGGGCGGCGGCGGGGTGGCGGTTTGGCGTCCTACCTGTTCTGAACTTGCTGCGAATCAGTAAGGAATGTTCCGATCCCAGTAGAGTCATGTTGTTCCTTTCGTCGCAATTCCAAGGTCGAAAAGGAGTCCCGGACAAGCCCCCCAGGAGAAGAGCGAACGCCACATCCGATGGTCGATCCCAGCCCGCGCCTGCCCCCCCCCCCCTCCTCCTCCTCGGCTCAGCGGCGGACGGTGGGATCCTTCGGAGGAGAATTTGGTCCCATCAGACTCTGACCTTGTATGAGAGGAGAATGCTCTGCCTTCAGCTGTGTTGGGATTAATTATGTGCCGTCCCCCCGGAGCCGCCTCCCCCCCCCCCCAACTTACTATTATCAGCATCACTCAGCTCCCAGCTGATGTCACTGTCTAGTAGAAACATCAGGAGGGATATCTGATCCCCCCCCCCCCATCATCATCACTGGAGGAGGGATACCAACCAAAAACTTCCAGCCAATCGCCTTCCAGGACAGAACTCTGCAAATATATCAGCTCGGAGGAACGTCCCCGGGCGCTGTGTCTTCATCGGAGGGGAAGTGACCCAACCTCCTAATACCTTCATCGGAGGGAAGTGACCCAACCTCCTAATACCTTCATCGGAGGGGTGGTGACTCAACCTCCTAATACCTTCATCGGAGGGGAGGTGACCCAACCTCCTAATACCTTCATCGGAGGGGGAGTGACCCAACCTCCTAATACCTTCATCGGAGGGGAGGTGACCCAACCTCATAATACCCCTTCTAATACCTTCATCGGAGGGGGTGGTGACTCGACCCCAACCTCCTAATACCTTCTCGGAGGGGTGGTGACTCAACCTCCTAATACCCCGGAGGGGAACCCAACCTCCTAATACCTTCCTCGGAGGGGAGGTGACCCAACCTCCTAATACCTTCATCGGAGGGGAGGTGACCCAACCTCCTAATACCTTCATCGGAGGGGAAGTGACTCGACCTCCTAATACCTTCCTCAGAGGGGAGGTGGTGACCCGACCTCCTAATACCTTCCTCGGAGGTGACCCAACCCTCCTAATACCTTCATCGGGGAAGTGACCCAACCTCCTAATACCTTCCTCGGAGGGGAAGTGACCCAACCTCCTAATACCTGCAAAGAAAAGTGCAGACAGATGCATTTTCATCACACACCTGACTTCAGAGCCAGGAACGTCATCACTGGGCCTCTGTGCTTCTCTATGCACTTGGTGGTCAGCTGCTGTTGTTGGATTAAGAAGTATTGCTCACATGTGATGCTGAGCCCCCCATGATTGGTGGAAATGAAATCTAATAAATGACATCATCACTGGATCTCTGTGCTTCTCTGTGCAATGTAGGCAGATCGTGGCTGGTGGGAAGGGCACCCTGTCTCAGCACTCCTCTCGAGAGCCCTGAAGCAAGCAGTGGGAGGAGTGATGCAATTATCAGAATGCCTTGATAGGTGGATGGCACATGGAGGCGTGATTGCTCCTAGGCAGGCTGGATGGGTTGATGAGCCTCCATGATTGGTATAAATGAAATCTAATAAATGAAAGGGGGGCGTGACATCATCACTGGGTCTCTGTGCTTCTCTATGCAATGCAATGCAGATCGTGGCTGGTGGGAGGGGCACCCTGCCTCAGTACTCTCTCAAGAGCCCTGATACAAGGAGTAATGAAATGATCAGAATGCCTTGATAGGTGGATGGCAGATGGAGGAATGATTGCGCCTAGGCAGGCTGTTTTGCACACATACCCACAGGAGGTATTGCTCACATTTTTTTTTTAATTGGATTTAGCCAAAAGGCGCAGTGCAGGAAAAGTGTCCATGGGGGACCCCACCCCCATGTGCTACTAAGGCGACCACTCAGGGGGCACTGCGGACCCTCTGCGCCCGGTCAGACAAGGTAGATCCATTAGAATCAGGAGGAACTGGGCCCCTCCGGGGAATTCCTCCCGGGGCCCCAACTGCCTGTGGGCACCTCAGTTTCTGTTCCAGCCGGTACTAACCTTCAGAGCCCCCATCATACCAGCAGGGGTGCTATACAGCCATCCTCACCAAGAGGCAAGAATGACAGCAGGGCGCCCCCTACTGGACACTGATAAGAACACATCCTACACTTGATCTTAGTCAAAGGGCCGAGAAGCGAGAATTCCCACCAATTGTTACCGATTTGTTGATTGAAAAATATACTTTATTTACAGAAAAAGAACACGATACGCGTAATCGGGGTGCAGCTCACCCTATACTGCGACGCAGCGCGTAATACACCACATTGCAATATCAGGGGCGGACTGACAACTCATGGGGGGCCCCGGGCAATAGGGGATCATGGGGCCCCTGTGTCCTTGCCCAAACTCAAAAAAGCCTTTGAAAAAGGTACCAGGGGCATCTCATGGGGCCCCCTACTGACCCCGGGCCCTCGGGCAGTGCCCAAGTTTCCAAATGGTCAGTCCGCCCCCTGTGCAATATAGTTCCAGGCATACAATAAATACATTCACTCAGCGGTATGATGCCTGACGTGGTGTGCGTGGCGGACGAATCCCCCGACCGTCACGTCATGCATGACGCCGCTTACCCCGAGACTGTTAGGGGCCCCCCAGGTTACCCCCATGGGGCAACCGCATAAAAACCATAACATGCATAAAAAGAGACATTTACGGGATATACAGAATCATGCAAGTTCAAATTCCAACAGGCATCAGGTATGTGGGGGGGGGGGGAGGGGAAAAAAAGAGGTGAAAAGGGGTCACAGGCCCGAAGCTTTATTGAAGGGGCAAAGACACGCAAGGGGGAGTCGGGGGGAAGGGGAGATCTTCTTCAGACGTCCTCTTCCTCCTTAAAGTCCATCAAGGTATAGTCCCTGATCAGTCTGCGGCAGTCCTCGATGGACATCCTCTCCCGCTGGTGTAAATTCATCGGTTTACGTGGAAGTTATAGAGTCTACCAATGGTGGTATAGATACTGGGATTTGTTTTTGTTTTTTTTTTTTATATATACTAGTAATGGCAGCGACCAGCAACTTATAGTGGGACCAGGGGCGGACTGACAACTCATGGGGCCCCCGGGCAATAGGGGATCATGGGGCCCCCTGTGTCCTTGCCCAAACTCAAAAAAGCCTATGAAAAAGGTACCAGGGGCATCTCATGGGGCCCCCTACTGATCCCGGGCCCTCGGGCAGTGCCCCAGTTTCCAAATGGTCAGTAAGCCCCTGAGTGGGACTGCGGTGGGCATTCTGACACTGGGGGAGGGGGAAGTGACTAACTGCCGCTGATTTTTTTTTTTTTAAGTCCGCAAACGTGCAACTATAACGGAAAAAAAAACCCGTAAGTGTTCTCAAAAAATGTGCAAGTGCAAAAACACCACACAAAAAGTGCACTTAGGGGTGTGTTTGTCCTACCCCCGTTTAAAAGGGTTGGACCGTTCACCCGATCCCCCGGGGCACGAAGCTCCTGACTGGGGGACAAGGTTCCCATTTGGTCCTCCTGGCCAAAAGGCCCCCTGGTGGACCACCGTTCCTTATGCCCAGCCGAAGCCGGACTGTTTTTCCAGTACTAGGCGAGGACCAGGGGGGTTCTCCCGAAGAGAAAACCCCCTAGGGATCAGGGAGGAAGGAACCGTAGGGCCACACATCCTCCTCCCTAGACTTCAGGTAAGGCCCGAGGACCCACCACCCTCCATCCGTGATCAAAAACACACACATAAGAACAGACAAAAGTGACAAAACGTGGGAGTGATAAATAAATAAATAAATAGAAAATAAAAAAAGTGGTACCGTGCCTAATAGTGCACAGACCAGGCCCTGAGGCCTGTAGCAAAAATTGCCCTGGACTTAGCCAGGAGGGCCAAAAGACCTGGTCTGGGGCCTTAGGGCGCTGTGCAAAAAGAGGTGAAAAACAGTGGCCATGTGTCATCTTCACACCGTGGGGTCCCACACCCAAGTGTTACTAGTGACACCCTGACTGCCCTCTGATATCCCCAGTGACACCTAATACAGTGATCAGTGCTAATAAAAAGCTTATGGACGCCCTCCCAGAACTATCCGATTTATTTATGCACTCCCGTCCTGTATCCATCTTTTGGTTATAGCGCGGTTGGGAACTGTTATCAAGTTATAGTCCTGAGCAGACTGAGGATCAGTCCTCGATGGACATCCTCTCCTGTTGGTGGATGACGGCGCTTCCTGGCGCACCATAGCTTCCTTTTTTTTTTTTTTGTGCCTGGGGGTCAGCGTGAACAGGTATCTTCAACGTTCTTAAAACAACACCTTTTTCGTGTGTGGTGTTCGCACTTGCACATTTTTTGTGATCACTTACGGGTTTTTTCGTTGTAGTTTGCACGTTTGCGGGAAAATGGGTGGGAAATGTGTCAGGCATATTTGTATTTTCTTATAATAATCCCACACTTGATATGCAAATTAGGTCCTTTGCAATTGGTTCAGAACACTAATATGCCATGAAAGTAGTATGGCTTGCACCCGTGCTTGTTTCAGCATTTTTAAAAATCTGCATAACTCCTCCCACTGCTCCTATCATAGCTGAAGGTTCAACATTTGGATATTTGCATAACTTCTCTCACTCGCGTCAGAATTCTTGAGGAGAGCAGCGTCTCCATTGAAGTCTATAGAATCAAAAACGCAACATTTCGCGTTTTAAAAAATTTCTGTAGCGCAGGATCACACTGTGGAATTCGGGTTTCTGTGTGATTTCTGAACCGCATCATAATCGCACTTAAGTTAATGACGAAATCAGTTTACATAACGCGCAGAATCGGATCGCATGGATGTGAATACCCGTGCGATCCAATTCTGGTGCGGATAAAAAAAGGGTTCTTTTTGGTGCGGATGCGGTTTGTATTAGAGCCAGACAAAATGTACCGCACACAAATCGCATGTGAATGTGGTACAGTTCCTGTTCGAATCGCGTGCAATATGCCGCACGGCAGAAGTGTGAACCCGGGCTGAACCTTTCCAAAAAATTGCAGCGGGTGAGAACGCGGTCCCAGGGTGTGAATGTGTCCCAGAGGAAACCACTTCGGCGTGAACCCAGACTTAATGTTTAGCTCACATCTCTGCATGTTGGAAAAGTGCGCAAAACCGTACGCTTTCCCCAAAATGCACAGCGCTGATCTGTGCGGTGAAATTGTAAAAAGGAGTCAGTGGGTTGGGGCTTCTTTCTCTGCGTTTTCCGTGGGTAGCGCAGCTCGTCGCAATGATTAGGCAGCCCTAGCCGCCATGTGAACGCACAGATGTGCGCCAATACATGACCCTCGCTTTTGAAACATCTGAAGCATTTGGGGAAGAACCAGAATGGACATTTCAGCAGGTCCTTCCTCCCCCGGCTTGTGAAACAAGAAGGTTGGAGGTGTGACACGGGGCTGCGGCGTCTCCATTCACCCCCCCCGTGCGTGTTCGGGATCGCAGGGATGGCGTGTGTTTTGGGGGGGGCACACCTGCAGCTGGTTGGGGGGCTCAGTGAGTGGTGACAATGAATCCACTATGAGTGCAGAACCTCGAGGCACATTCACTGCAAAACCCAGATGGGGAAACGCAGAACCGCAAGAATTTCGCCACTCAGTGATGTAAGAGCCGGCGAGAGGCAGCGCGCTCTGCAAGGCAGGAGGGGTTTTGAAAGTTCAGAGCGGTTAACCCCTTCCAGGGACCTTGCAGTACGATCCCCTCTACACAGGGATTGGATGAAGTGATGGGGGCCACGGTGGCCCCTGGAATGTCACAGAGCTCTGCTAAGAGATATCTACTACAGACTGTTCTCTGAGCGTTTAACCCCTTCCACAGCCTTTGCTCTATGATCTCCTTGGATGAAGTGATGGGGCCCCTGAAGGGTCACAGGGGCCCTTGGAATGTCACTAGGCTCTGCTGGGAACATCTCCTACAAGCAGCCCAGACTGTTCTCTGAGCGTTTAACCCCTTTCAGGGCCTTTGCTGTACGATCCTCTCTACACATGGATAGGATGAAGTGATGGGGCCACAGGGGCCCTTGGAATGTCACAATTGGGGACATTGGGGACTTGGAATGTCTCTGCTGGGGACATCTCCTATAAGCAGCCCAGACTGTTCTCTGAGCGTTTAACCCCTTCCTGGGCCTTTGCTGTATGATTCCCTCTACACATGGATAGGATTAAGTGATAGGGCCACAGGGGCCCTTGGAATATCACAGTTGGGGATATTGGGGACTTGGAATGTCTCTGCTGGGGACATCTCCTGTAAGGAGCCCAGACAGTTCTCTGAGCGTTTATCCCCTTCCTGGGCCTTTGCTGTATGATTCCCTCTACAGTAGAGATCATACAAAGCGATAAGGGCCCTAAGGGGCCACAGGGCTCTGCTAAGGGGACATCTCCTACAAGGAGCCCAGACTATTCTCTGAGCATTTAACTCCTTCCAGTGCCTTTGCTGTATGATTGCTTCTATAGCAGGGATAGGATGAAGAGATAGGGGCCTCGGGGGGGGGCCCACAGTAGTCCCCGCAGTGCCACAGGGCTCTGCTAAGAGAGATCTCCTACAAGGAGCCCGGAGCATTTAACCCCTTCCAGGGCCTTTGCTGTCCAATCGCAGGGATTGGATGAAGAGATGGGGCCCCGGGGGGGGGGGGGGGGGGGGGGTAGTCCCCACAGTGCCACAGGGCTCTGCTAAGAGAGATCTCCTACAAGGAGCCCAGAGCATTTAACCCCTTCCAGGACCTTTGCTGTCCGTGCTGTCCGATCGCAGGGATTGGATGAAGAGATGGGGGGGGGGGGGGGGGGGGGGGGGGGGTCACAGAGCTCTGCTTATACAAGGAGCCCAGACTATTCTCTGAGCATTTAACCCCTTTCAGTGGCATTTGCTGTGTGATTATTCTCTCTATACAGGGATTGGATGAAGCAATAAGGACACCGCTAGAGCCAGAGGGGCCCCTAGAATGCCACAGGGCTCTTCTGGGGACATCTCCTACAAGAAGCCTGGAGTGTTCTCTGAGCATTTAACTCCTTCCAGGGCCCCTCCTGTACGACCCCCTCTACAGCTGGGTTGGATGATTCGATAAGGGCCCCTCTACAGCTGGAGTGGCCCCTAAAATGCTGCAGGGCTCTGTTGGGGAAAGCAGCCTTTTGCTGTATGATCCCTATACAGCAGGGATGGAATAAAGTGATAAGGGCCCAAGGGGCCACAGATGCCCCTACAATGTCACAGAGCTCTGCTGGGGATATCCCTACAAAGAGCCTGGACTCCTTCTAGGGCCTTTGCTGTACAATGCCCTCTACACAGTAGGGATCGGGTGAAGCAATAAGGGCCCTGTTACAGCCAGAGGGGCCCCCGGAATACCACAGAGCTCTGCCATCGGACACGTCCCACAAGAATAAAATAGGGCGCAGGATGTTCTCCAGGAAGATGTTGGGTTTGCAGATACAGGATGGGGACTGGTCGGTGATCTGCAGCGCGTATGCTCAGCAGTCATCATGGGGCCCCACATGTTCATCTCCCCTTATGAGTTGTGACAAAGCTACAATGGATAGTCTGAGTGAACACTGGGGAAGAGGAGACTGAGGAAATGCTTACCCCTTCCTGCAGCAGACTGATGACATCATCTCAGCCTAGGCACAGTCGCCTGGACTGGATGGATTTTTATTCGTCAATGAGTCTGTTTGTGGCTTCAGGAACAATTCAGACGGTTGATCAGTTTCCAACCGATGGAAGCCACAACTGTTGTATCTCGAATTTAAACCAATCGCGTTGCGTCCCCATAAACTTAACATTTCTGGAATGTATTTTAGGAAAGTCTGTAAAATAGAAGAAGCAGAATGTTTTTATTGTGAATTATTTGGAGGATTATTAAACAAAACGCAAATTTGCTTTTCCTGGGAAACAAAACATCTTCAATGATGTCTCTGGACAATGAGACGACTTCCAAAGAAATGAGTCCTCTGGGCTTTATCATTGTATGAAGCTGGAGCATCACTGACACCGAATCATTCCGGGCGAATCAGGAGAGCGGCTCATTTAACTCCTCCCAACTTCAGAATCTGAAACAACATGGTTAACGTGAACTGCAACATTGTAACTTTGTACCCTTCAAGAAACCAGAAGGCGACACTTCCTGAAGTGTCAGATTCCTGCACCCCCTTCAAA